GTAACTCCTATATGACCCAATCACATTTGACTACTTGCATTCCTTGGAAAAACTCTATGCCTTTTCTTCCAATGTTTCTTTGCCCAAAATACCCTTCTCTCCTGTCATTTCTCAAAAACCATTCCATCAAAAAACTTCCGATTTCAACAAACAGATAGGACCTTCCCTCATCCTCCACTCCCCAAACCACTTTGATTGTAAAATGGTATATATTTTTAAGTTTTATCTTAGCTGCAAAAACAGAATTCTTTTTTTTAAGCTCTAATAAACTGTTTTCTCTTCTCTCTCCTTCCCTCCTTCCCTCCTTCCCTCCTTCCCCCCTTCCCCCCTTCCCTTCCCTTCCCTGCCCTTCCCTTCCCTTCCCTGCCCTGCCCTGGCCTGCCCTTCCCTGCCCTTTTCATCCTCACCCAAAGATATTGTTTCTATCACTCTTCAGAGAAAGTGAAAGAGAGAGAGAGAGAAACATCAGTGTGAGAGACACACATGGATTGGTTGCCTCCTGCATGTGCCCCATCCCAAGCCAGGGATGGAGCCTACAACCGGGATACTTGGCCATGGCTGAAATCAAACCTGGGACCTTTTAAGTCCGTGGGCCAATGCTCTTACCACTGAGCCAAACCAGCTAGGGCAAACAGAATTCTTTAAAAGGTATTAGAAAAACATGTTTTAAAAAACATGTTAATAAGTTTGGTTACTTGGGTTTCCTGGCATTTTAAACGACAGCCATTAAAACAATATACTTGCTTTCTCAAGCTCATCAAACTGTTAATAAGACAGACTTACATTTGTTTCCAACAAAATCATTCTAAGCACTTAAATTTCTTTCCTAGACTTTAAGTCTTAATTTAAAGACTTCTTAGAGTCTTACAGTAATGAAACATTTTAACTCCATGCTTTTTCCTTGCAAATCAGTGCCTCACATTTTAAAGGTAACCTCTTAGACAACTTTCAGCTGCCTAATTGAATTTTTCCTGTTTTATTATAAAAAAATGTCAAACATACAGAAAAGTTGAAAAATTGTACAGTACCCACCATTTAGATTCCACAAGTAACATTTTATGATATTTACTTTATCACATATCCGTCCTTTATCCATCCATCAGTCCATCTCATTTTTATGCATTTTAAAGTAAGAGGCAGACATCAATACACTTAGCACTTCAGCACGCATAACATTTACTAGAGTTCAAAGTTTGCTTATGTTGTTTTTAAATAAAATTTACAATTAAATACAGACATTTTTAAGATACTATTGGATGAGTTTTGACAAACATATATACTTGTGCAACCCAAACCCCTATACAATATAAAACATTACCATCACTCTAAAAAGTTCCCTCATTCCTAGGGTGGCCAAATTTACAAAGAAAAATAATAAGATGCCCAGTTAAATTTGAATTTCAAATAAAGAATGGATACTTTTTAGTATAAGTGTGTTCCAAGTACTGCATGGGAAATACTTGTGCAATAGTTGCACAAATTATTGTTTAACAAACAAGTGTTGGTGAGGATGTGGAGAAAAGGAAGCCCCATGTATTGTTGATGGGAATGCAAATTGGTGCAGCCTCTATGGAAAACTATGGAGGTTTCTCAAAAATTAAAAATGGAACTACCTTGCCCAGCCAGCATGGCTCAGTGGTTGAACATTGACCTATGATCCAGGAGATTGCTGTTCAATTCCTAGTCAGGGCACATGCCCAGGTTTCGGGCTCTATTCCCAGTGGGGGGCATGTAGGAGGCAGCAGATCAATGACTCTCTCATCATTGACTATCTCCTTCTCCCTCTCCCTTCCTCTCTCTCTGAAATCAATAAAAATATATTTTAAAAAATAATAATAAAATAAAATAAGTGGAACTGCCATATATGACCTAGAGCCTCAACTTGTGGGTATATGTTTGAAGAAATCCAAAGCACTAATTTGAAAGAATATACACTCCCCCCCCCCC